GGCTCATTGATGACTTGCGGGTAGCTTCTTTTTCTGCAGAAGCCATTTTCTCCCAAAGCTATTAGACATTAGCGTGGAACTGCCGCATTTCTGCCTGCAGCTAACCCAGCTGCCCAGCTGTGGGGATTTCTAGGCCAGAGAGAAACACTGCCTAGGGAAAAGCAGACAGTTGACGCTTGGCTTAGCCCTGATGAAAGGGGCTGCAAAGACAACCAGATAGCCTGACTTTGTCCAGCAAGGGGGAAGCACAGATAGTGTCAGGACTTATTTTCCCCCATACGCTGTCTCTACCGGTGCACCTCAGGCCCTACAACTGGGCCAGATCCAAAGCTCAGTGAAGTCAATGGAAAAGTCCTATTGTTAATAATCACCTCAGGAGTTGAGAGATGGTCTCTGTTAGGACAGTTCTGAAGGAGGCCACTTGTTTTCTTATCTTCAGCAGAAGGGTGGGTCTGGAAGATGTCCCAGCTTTCTAGGCACCCTGTTGACCTTGATAAAGAACCACGTGCCCCAGGGGTGGATTTCATCCAAGGAGGCAAATATGGTGAGCAGAGCTCTTAGCTGCTGAGGAGGAAAGCGGGTACTTTGGGAGTAGGAATACTTGTCCTTGCTTTTCCACGACCTGAGAGTAGGAATGTGAATGGTTAACTGGTAAGCCTCACCCTTAATGGGTTAATCAGTGGGGGATGGAGGGCTGGGGCTGTCCTATGAGGCCCCACCATGGGCAGCCCCCGCCAATGGCAGGCCCGGTCCAGGTTTGCTGCAGGAAGGGGCGCTCCAACCTCACTGGAGCGCCCCTCCCCGCCACCTGCCCCCATGTGATCAGTTAACGGGTTAAACTGGATTTGACGTCCCTGCCTGAGAGACACGAAACCTTTCGCGCAGCAGCAGCGGCGTTCTGCTGCGCTGACTCATTGATTCAACATCCAGGAGCAAACATTGACAGGGGCTGCATCTCACAGGCTTAAGAGCCATGATCCCTATGGAAAGCATAAGCACCCTGCTTCCGTTCAGGCACCCTCGGCCCGTGATGGCCACGCAGCTGTGGCTAGATAGAGATGGCTGTGGAGAGAGTGGCCAGATGTGCCGCTGTAGCGAGCATCAACCTTATTTCCTCTCCTACACACCTACCCTGTGTCCACGCAGCAATTTTTGCCACGTGTGTAGCCGCATCCTTTTGTGCCAAGGCAGTTTGTGGTACCTGATGCGAACCTGATAGCAAATACTGTTGCCCCGGTGGAAATCGTTCCGACGAGGTGTATGCTGCGTGTTTGCCAGCATTAAGTGATCTCTTCTGCCAAGGCTCTTTACTAATGTGAAGAGTATCTTTTGTTTGCTGTTCTCCACTGCTGGGCCCCTCTTTCCACTGTAAATCTGGTTGCCTTTGACAAACTGCACAGAAACAAGGCTTCTATATAGCTCAGAGCACGGGCCCATTCCACAAAACGGGAACCCAGAGCCACAGGCAAACAGGGGAAAATAGGTATTTTTAGACTCATAATTCTAGTCTGGGCCTGTTATATGAGGGGTCTGAGAGGTGACGGTCAGGAACAATCTGAACTTTGGAGAAAGCTTATGTCTCTGTAGAAAAGTCCAATGGAATTGAGTTGAGAAGGAGCATTTTTCTGTCAGTTTTCCCA